CTCCTCCCGCGCCCACCCGGCCATTCGTCCCACCTCCCGAACCTGCTCAGGCTCCCGCGCCCCGCGCTGGCTCCAGCGGCGCCGCCTCCCGCCCCTCGAACGGTGGTCCCTTTAAGAGCAGACGGCCCAACCTGATCCCGCCCCCTCCCCGCCCTCAAGGAAACGTGTCACTTGGGTTGCGGCCACTACGGTGACGCCGGGAGGACAAAAGGCCTGTGCGGGGTTGATGCCATAACGCGGAGCTCTCCCATGGAGGGCGGAAGTGGGCGGTGCCACCCCTGAGGGGGCGGGCAGCCGAGGAAAGCCGCGGGCCCCGCCCACGTGCCGGGACCTGGGCACAGAGGGCCCCGTTCTAACCCGCAGGTTTTCAAACTTTCCGGTGTCTGCCAAACCCTTAATTCAAACTCTTGCATGAAATATCCGACTCCGGGCCGGGCGCGGTGGCCCACGCCTGTAATCCTAGCACTCTGGGAGGCTCAGGCGGGAGGATCGCTTGAGCCCGAGAGTTCGAGACCAGCCTGAGCAAGAGCGAGACCCCTGTCTCTACTAAAAACAGAAAAAATTAGCCGGGCATGGTGGCACATGCCTGTAGTCCCAGCTACTCGGGAGGCTGAGGCAGGAGGATCGCTTGAGCCCAGGGGTTTGAGGTTGCTGTGAGCTAGGCTGACGCTAGGGTAATCTAGCCCAGGCGACAGAGCAAGACTATCTCAAAAAAAAAAAAAAAAAATCCGACTCCACGGATCTAAAGCCACAGAGGGCAGGGCTGGGCTGAGTGAAGGGAATGGGTGGAGGCCGCCAAGTGACTGTGGTTCTAGGAAGTTGAGTTTGAAAATAAACCAACGAGCTGAACCAGGAAGCTCTAAAGCCACAATAGCCATCCCAGTGCCAACTGCTCTCAGCCCTCCCACACTGTGGCCCTCACCTGCTGGGAATGGTTTGCACCCAGCCTGCTGTAACAGTGGTTAGAAAATGATTTTGCTTCTGTTTACAATAAAAGGCAGGGCTAGGGCATGATGCACAGGAAGCCATGACATACTGAGTGATGAAATCTGAACAAAGAAGCCATAAATGCACAAGTGCACAGGTGTTCCCCACTGTGGGGGGTGTGGTGTCCTGAGCCTGCCCTGTATGGCCTGGAGCACTGACTCAGAGAGGCCTGGAGGAACAAGTAGTGCTGCTGCCCTTGGGGGAGCTTGTGCAACAGCCCTGGTCACAGAGGCAAAGTCACAGAAACAAGCCCTCCGGTGTGCTGGCCAGCAGCCGCTGCAGGCAGCCTTCTGAGTTAGCCCAAAGCCATTGATTTCCAATCACTGTGGATTTGGGGCTCTGGTGGGAAAACAGGGAGGAAATTCAGCGAGTAATAAACTAGTTCAAAGTCTTTCTTCTCAGTCTGCAACACTGTGAAGATATTTATTCCTCCACTCTCATATATGCACACATCTGCACAACCGAATACCAGAATGCTTCTGTGTCATAAAACCTTTAATTACATAAGCTGTTTGCAAAAATCACATTGAGTTCAGACTTTCCAGAGATGCTGGAGTTGGCAGATGGCCACCACAGAAGCTCAGTCCTCCCCTCTTTCTGCACATGCCCTCTGTCAGCTTGGGGAAAATCTCCTCCGAGTCATTTACCCTAAGGGGTCAGAAAGCAATGGCCCCAAGGCCATGGCAGGGTGAGTGGTATAGAGCAGCAGTCCCCAATCTTTTTGGCACCAGGGACCGTTTTCATGGAAGACAATTCTTCCACAGACTGGGGAGGGGGGTGATGGTTTTGGGATGATTCGAGTGCATTACATTTATTGTACACTTTATTTCTATTATTATTACATTGTAATATATAACGAAATAATTATGCAACTCACCATAGGTTGGGGACCCCTGGTATAGGGTAGCCAGCTGCCAGATTTCATCTAGAGAGGAGCCTTGAGGATCGTGCCCAGCTGGGAATGGGGTTCCCAAGTGCCCGCAGGCATTCAACTGCTGGGCTGTCAGGTCCTCAGCCTCCAAGGCCTCTCACTGTACTGACTCCTCTGACCCGTCACCTCCCTTCTATCAGCAGAGACCTCTGGGCAGAGCTGGCTGTAGGGTGCCTGCTTCTTTTAATCTCATTCTCATTTCCCAGTCCCCATCCTCCACGAATCCTGTGTGCGTGCTCCCAATCCCCAGGGCTTCAGGTGGGCAAGGGGCTCAGAGTTTGCAGCTAGCCTGGGCCACTTTGGAGCCGCTTTTTCTGTTCAGGGCTTGACAGATAAAGTCCCCAGCTTCCAGGAGCTTCTGGATGTTCACACCCTTCGGGAAACAAGTTAGAGGACGCACAAAGTCATGACATGCCCTTAACACCAGGGAAACACCAGACAGAACAGACAGCTGTGATACTGAACAAAGAAAGGTGAAGACAAACAGGCTCTTTTCCCCTGACAGCGGCGCACCAGCTGCCTGTGAGCTCGTGTCCGTCTGGCATCTGGGGTTACCCCTCTGACTCCCCGTGTATAAGATGCCTCAATCTGTGTGATGGTTTGTAAGTGCCACCTCCAGGACAGGGATCTCAACAGTCTTGTTCAGTACTGCACCTCCAGGGCCTAGCACGGGGCCTGGCCTACAGAGGTCGAAACTGCATATTCAAGTGAGCACTGTGAGGCAGCGAGAGACAGGAATAAAAATACCAACCGAAAGGCCAGGCAGGGAACCTCTGTTCGTAACAATGGCTCAGATTTGCCGATGTGTGCTACGTGCTCAGCTCTGTGCTAAGCATTGTATGTTTTCTTACTTAATCCGCAATACAGTCCTACGAGATAGGTGCTATTATAATTCCCAGGGAGATGAAATACTTCTTCTGAGATTGCACAGCCTGTGTGGCAAGACTAGGTTTTAAACCCTGTTCTATCTGATGCCAAGCACAGATGCTACACTGCTTCCACCCCGCCACTGAGGGCCCTTATGGATTCTGGTAGAGCCCTGGTGGGCTAATTCTGCTGCCCTCACTTTACAGAGAACAAAACAAAGGCCCAGAAGGGACTGACACATTTCAGGTCATGAACCTGACCCCTGTCAGGGTTCTCTGGTGCCTACTAGAACTGAACTGCCAGAGTCATACTGCCAGTCACACTGGCCTCCTTGTGCCCATGCTCGTGGCCCCATTCAACCACACTCTGCTACCTCAAAAACATTAGATAAAATATCCATAATCCCCCTGCACCCCTTTCTTCTACCACCCCAACAACCCCAGCTTCTGTCCTCTGGCTTCGGGCCGAGCCCTGGTCAGTTCAAGGCTGTGACCACCAGGGGGCAGGCAGGCTTACCGTGTGAATGCCCAGGCCCTCCAGCATGTAGACGAGGTCTTCAGTGGCCAAATTTCCTGATGCCCCCTGTGCATAGGGACAGCCTCCAAGTCCCGCCACGGAAGAGTCCACGACAGTCACTCCCATCTGGAAACAGAAGGATGGTGAAACATGGCTGTCGCTGGGGACCAGAGCCCACAAAGCTGGTACTTGCAAACCTCCCGATCGTCTGTTTTCTGAAATTCTACTGTGAGAGTCATTCTGTCTTTTTGCTTATGGCTCTGACATGAAAACCTCACTGAAAGAGACAGTGCTTCTCTTTTAGTTCCCGGAGCGGTTTCCTCTGCTGGGAGTGTTTTTTTCCCATTCCTCTCATGGTTGACACCTCACCCTTTAGGTGCCAGCCTATAAACCACTTGCTCAGAGAGACCCTTCCTGATCACCAGCCTAACCCCCACCGACTGCTGAGATTTGAGACCCCTGTGGTTTACTCTGGCTCATTTACACCTCCCCACTCAAGGGCTGCTCTCATTCCAAGTTGGGGCCTCTAACTGCATGAGGGCCATATCCCATCTCCCCAGGTCAGCTGCTTTCCACTCTCCTAGATGAATATTTTGCTTGCTTTCTTCTCTCTCCTTAAAACTCTATCACCTTCTTCCCCTCCTCATTCTCAGTTGCTTCATTCAAAGACAAAACAGATGCAATCAGAACAGATGTCTCCACTAGCTCACACCTGCCTGCATCTGGGCCCACAGACCCACCATCCCTCATGCTACCTGGGATGGACTCTGAGCTCCGAGCCAAGGCCAACGCCTCCAGCTCTGCATGGGGCCGTTCCTACCTGCTCAAGGACGTGCTGCTCCAGTAGAGGCTCCCACTCTCCTGCAACCTGTTATTCCTTCTACCTGGTCATTCTCACATAAGCAGCCTGAGATCTCTCCCACCTTTTACAAACTCTTTTTGGAACCTTCCAACCTTCCATTTCTTTGCCCCCATTCTTTGCCCTGTGCCTGGGCTGGGCACGGTGGCTCACGCCTGTAATCCCAGCACTTTGGGAGGCCAAGGCGGGAGGATTGCTTGAGGCCACGAGTTTGAAACCAGCCTGAGCAACACAGTGAGACTCCATCTCTATAAAAAATAATTTTTAAAAATTAGTCAGGCATGGTGGCCCCAGCTATGTGGGAGGCTGAGGCAGGAGGATCACTCGAGCCCAGGAGTTCAAGACTGCTGTGAGCTGTGGTGGCACCACTGCACTTCAGCTCTGGGGGATAGAGTGAGACCCCATCTCTAAACAAAACATAAAGCAAAACTCCTCAAAAGAGCTGTCCCCACTTCTTATCTGTTACCATTCTCACCTGAACCCATGCTAGACAGGTCTGTGTCCCCACAACTCCTCCACTTCAACAGCTCTAGTCAAGGTCACTGGTGACCTCTATGTAGCTAAATGCAAAGGCCAAGTCTCATCGTCTTTGTGCTGGACCGTGAGCATCACTGTCCTGGACACTTTCTTCACAGAGCTTCCAGGGCTCCACCTCCCTCTAGTTTCCTCCTAACAGCCCGGCCTCTCCTGAGACCTCGATCCAGTCTTTGCTGGCTCTTCCTCCCTCCCTGACCTCTGCAGGTTGGAGCCCTCACCGCTCGATCCTCAGACAGCTTCTTGATCTACGCTCACTCCCAGGTGACTGTGCTGTCTTTAAATAAATACCCATCTACGTGCTGAAGACTCTGAAATGTTTACACCAGCGCGGACGCTCCCTGCAGTACAGTGTCACACAGTCAGCAGCTCCACCAGGATGCCCGACAGACGTCTCCAGCTTCACAGGCCAGAAAGTGAACTCCTGAC